CCACCGTGCAGGAGAGGAAGATCCTTACAGGGGAGCAGAGAGCTGCCACCGTTTAGGAGGAGACACTTGCAGAGGAGCAGACTATAGTCTGCCGCTGTAACTAAGATAGAAGGAGGAGGAAGTAGTTCATAAAGGAGCAGACGCTGCCGCTAATAATACTACTTTTCTTTCGCGAACAAAAGCAAACGATAAGATATTGAATGGCCTGAAACACGCTATACTTAATTAATAATCTTGGCTTCTGTGATAGAACTGTTGTAGGCGAATAGCCACTAATAAGTAGGCCTCTATAATAATTATCACAGGCATATAGCTATTAACAAATAATTAATAAGAGAAAAAGCATTTCTAATACAAATAGTACAGAAAACTATATACTAGTTTTAATTAGATAAGATCCTGATTTAGCAGGATTTAATTATACATATATAGCCAAATTAATTACATTAATCTAGCATGCTATTTGTATACTCATTATAATTAATAAACCTTAGGCTAATAGGGCATACTAGTAATTGACAAGGCTATTAGAAAGGAGGATTATATAGCTGCCACTTTAAGGCTAGGTAATAAAACGGATCTCTATAGCAATAGAGTACTAAGAGCCATACTTGATACTAGTGCAAGGGAAGTCTTGAGAATTGCATTTAAGTTAGTTGCCATTAATAGAACTAGATACTCGAATAGATCTCTCTGCAGAAGGAGTGTTAAGAAGTGTATTCAGGACCTATTTGAGGGCCATGTACAGAGCATGCGCAGGCTATACACAGGGTATGCGCAGGCTATAGCAAGGTTATGTAATATGTTATATAACATTAATACTAGTATAGATATATAAGTATCTGCCCTTATTCTAGATAGAATCTATAATCTCTCTGGCCACGCTATAGCAACATACTGCTTCTGCCCTGTCTATTTCCAACATAATTTATATATAAAGAATATATAATCTTAATAATTAAAAAGAAGAAAGCCTTAAATTAATTAAGCCTTTTAAACTAAAAGACTCTTTTAATTAAGAGGCTAGAATAAAGCTTCTTATTCTTAGCCTTAATATTTCTAGCTAAGAGGTTAAGGTTATATTTTTCTTTTCTAGTAATACTAATATTATAAATAAGTATAATAAAGAGTTAAATATAAATCTTAACTAATAAGTAAATCTTATTAGTTTAATTAAGATTTAATTATAAATATATTTTAATTAAGGTTATATTATAATTCCTAAATCGCTATTACATTATATATATTAATTCCTAGGTCTTAAAGAAGAGGGATAAGGACTTTTAGTCTAGATTTATTAATATTATATTAAAGGACTCAGAAAATATATATTATTAGAAGAGTTAAGAGCAAGTAACTTTAATATTAAGGTTCTTTATATTTATCTTAAGGAACACTTAGGAAAAGAATTTAAGTAAATAAGCATCTTCTAAGAAGACCTTAATTAGGATTTAGTTATTAATATAAAAAGGTTCTAATTAGGCGGGCATATAAGGGACGATAGCACCTGCGAGACTAGTACAGGTTACCTGTGTGTAGCTCGCAGGACCGGGGGTAACTTTCTGGTTAATGCCTAAGATGAGGGCTTCAATTTTCTCTAGTCTAGTCTTGACTAGGGATGGATCATGTAAGGCTGTACAAAGGTACGCGCGGACAGCTAGGAGAAAAGGGGTAAGGAGAGAGAGTAATAGATTGTCAGATGGCAGAGAGAGGAGGAAGGGCAAAGATTCAAGTTTTTTGATCGTGCTAAGAAGGCTGGCTCTTTGCGTTCTGTCGTTAGAGAGAGCGGGAGGGAAGTGAAGAGGAGTGGAGGGCTGCAGGATTTGGGTAGGTTGCTTATTATCAGAGAGCAGGCGGTTCGCTTGCGAAGAGGGCGTAATTTGTGTTACGAATCCTCTTACGACTTATGCTAAGGACTATATTCCCTGTGGCACTAACCATAGCTCACAGAGCTCATCTCAGACCTAGCTCCTCACTATTATTCTAGCCATCACTGACAACAGGTACCCATAGTTGTCTGTACCTAGCCTCAGCGAAATAAGAGGCACAGACATATATATAGAGTGTTGTATTCCCACTTTCGTTTTCTTTTCTCCACGCTTTGTCTTGTATATTAGGCCTAACTATAACTCTCCTAACATTATAAAGTGTCCTATTTATTTTTATCTTCTAATTCTTAGGTCCGCCTTAACCTACTTTCTCTTTATTATTATTCCTTATTACTTAGTCTAGGCAGTAAAAGAATTACTGCCTCTCCTTCTTTTATTCTATTCTATATTCTTTCTTCCTTAAAAGAGTCTAAGATCTCTTTTAAGTCCTTTTTATCTATAAAAGTTATAGCTAATGCTTAGATACATCTTAATAATAATATAGTTAACTTATAAGAACCCTTTTATATATTTATTCTTATATATAATCTAGCTTTAATTTATACTCTTTAGCTCTTTAAGCACCTAGCCTAAGATCTAACTTAAGGCCTAATAGCCTAAATCTTATTAATAATAATTATAGTCTTATAACAGAATTAATAACTCTAGTATATACTTATAAAGTTAGAAAAGACTATAGACGTTCCTATATTTAATAACTTAGAGCTTAATACTTATAAAGACTTAAAGAGATTTAAAGTAAGCCTTACTTTAAAATTCAGAGTTAATACTAATAGATACCTCACGCCTATATTATATATTTATTACGTATTCTCTTAACTTATAAATTATGCCTTAAACATTACTTTAAATAATATTAATAAGAGGATCTATCTAGATTAGGTAAATCTAATTAAAGAACTAAAGCTTAACTTTAATAATACTAACCTAGAATACTCTGTTATCTGTCATCTTATAAAGATAAGATAAATATACTAACTCTTCTCTGAATTCTACCTAGAGTTTAAGTAGATTACTAGAAGAACGCTATTTCAAGACTATAATCTTAAGGGACTGCTCTAACTTATATTATCTAAGGAACTTATAGAGAAGCTAGCTATAGTTGACGTTAGAGACATGGTATATAAAGTCTTTGTCTAAGAGTATACTTAGCAGGACAATCTATTATGTACTGCGCTATTATAATAGATAACCAGATTATAAAAGCCGCTTATAAGTTTAACTGTCTTAGTTTCAGTCCCCGCCTATTCTATTACACCTGCCCTTATTTTTTATAACTCTATAGACATAGATTACTTAGTCTACAAAGCCTCTAACGAATACAAAGCTAAATAAGAATATTAATATAATCTAAGCCTTTATTACTACTATATAAGCCCGGACTATAGAGCTAATATATATCTAGAAAAGTTAAAGCTACAAAGCAACTTTTATATTATCTCTTCTATACCTACTATAATATCCTTAACTCTAGTATTTATTCTAGTAATCTTATAAGTAATTATACTTATTATTTTAGCCTCCTTTACCCTTCTTTTTTTTTCTAGTAATTATATTAATATAAAGTTATTAACTAGTTGAGACTTGTCTTAACCAGTTAAGCCTTAACAGGTCAAAAGATCTCTTATAGTTACATTAGCTGACTATTTAGTAAAGAATAATAAACTATACTACTAATAATGCTTATAGATTCCTAAAAATAAAGAACTAAGACTTTATTATATTAATAAATGTTATAAATAACTAATGACTAGTTACTTAGGCCTTGTAAAGACTTATAAGATCCTGTAATAATAATTTTATTAGCTAAAGATAATAGACTTAATAAAGGAATAGTTAGCTAAATGTCTTATATATTATTATATAAAATCTTCTTATAAATACTAAGGTTAACTATAAGTACTAAAGCCGCCTAAGAAATAATAGTAATACTTAACTATAAATTTTGTTATAAACCTCCCTAAATCTAATAGTATTTTCCTTAATATTATAGTTAAGTATTTAAGTCTTAATAGACTAATTAATTAAGAAGAGATACTTAGTGCCCTGCTATAATATAAAAACAAAATATCTAATTAGGATATTTATTTACTTTATTATTTATGATTATAGCCTCCCTAAGTTAATAATATTTAATAAAGGTTTATAGTTTATTTGAAAATCCCTGCCCCACTACAGCACCACAAAGACCTACGCTCGCAGGAGCTCACGCATAGAAAGGGGGTGATGTTACGAATCCTCCTGCGACCTACGCCAAGGACCATATTCCCTGTGGCACTGACCATGGCTCACAGAGCTCATCTCGGACCCAGCTCCCCGCCGCTATTCTAGCTATCACTGACGACAGGTACCCACAGTTGTCTGTACCTGGCCTCAGCGAGATAAGGGGCACGGACATGTATATAGAGCGTTGTGTTCCCACTTTCGTTTCCCCAACCATAGCTCTCCTGACACAGAGGGCCTCTTACTACTACTATAGTACGGAGTACAGGAGTCTTCTCTTGGCGTGTTTGGACAAGGATTTGCCTCAACTTCAGCAACCAGCTCAGAGAGGGGCCAGCGTTTAGGAACCAAGAGCAGAATGGGATGAAAGAGGGCTTCTCCGTAACTACTCAACAAGCTCGATGGATAGAACGTGCTCTCTGTCTCCTTATTTCTCCCATGCGGCTCTGTATGTGGCTAGCGGGTAAGCACCCCGCGCTACTGATGTTGCCGTCACCTTCAGGGTGGGCTCAGAAATAGCTCCAGAGATGGAGTGTTATCCTACCTATTCTAAGATGGAAGGCGACTTACAAATCAGAGAGGAGATGGCTGACCAATGAGAGATATCAACCTGATACTGAGATACAAAAATTGAAAACCCAGAGCGTTGTTCACCTGAATACGGGATCAAGACGTCGTCTACTACTATAACTTTATGCACCTGAAGACAACGGCAACGCGCACGAATCATATCTCGATATTGTCAGACGAGGTAAAGAGCTGCTTCGAAGGATTCCCAGGCTTGTTCACTTCAATCAGCTTCAAATACCAGGCACGAGTCTCCGTCTTGGACCAAGCTGCCATCCCCTCGCCTCTCATTCTGTGGGTTTTTCGTTTGCTACAGTGAGAATGGCCTTCCTAAACACATCTACGCTCCTCTACTTGGCCTCTGTTTACATAGCATATGGAGTTGGTCTTGTGATCTATAGGTTATACCTCAGCCCTTTGTCCAGGTTCCCAGGTCCCAAGCTGGCCGCTGCCACACTGTGGTATGAGTGCTACTACGATGTTGCCAGACGAGGAAAATATACATTCAAGATCGCAATGATGCATGAAAAATATGGTCAGTTTAGCTGGAAGTCATGCCGATGAGAGTCTCCTATTCACAAGACTTCAGGCCCCATCATCCGTATCAACCCATACGAGCTTCATGTCAACGACCCAGAATTTTATGACGAACTCTATGTGCATGGTTCTGTCAGAAGGACGGAAAAGTTCTTGTGGGACCTCCGCATGTTTGGCCGAGCAACTTCAACATTTGGGACTCCTGAACATGAGCTTCATCGTATCCGGCGTGCCACTTTGTCTCCGTATTTCTCAAAGGCCTCAGTGCAACAGCTGGAGCCTGTAGTACAGCTTATGGTTGACAAGCTCGTGTCAAGGCTAGAGAAATTGCAAGGATCTGCTGCAATCCTGAATCTCCTTGACGTCTTCTCTGCCCTAACAGGCGATGTCATAGGCCAATATGCCTTCGCAAAGCCTCTCGGACTTCTAGATAAACCAGAGTTTGCGCCCCAATGGCAAAGAGCTATCCTGGATCTCGGCGAGAACGGCCATATGCTCAAGCACTTTACCTGGATGGAGCCCCTATTCCGGAGTATGCCGCTTTGGCTTGTCCGCGTGATGAATCCTCAAGTTATGCCATTGATAGAATTACAAATGGGTTTCGAGGAGCAGGTCAATGGGTTCAAAGCAGACTTGGCAAAAGGCCGCAAGTATACAGGACAACGAACCATCTTCTATGATATGATAGCAGATGACCAAGTACGACCTCAGGAGAAAGACTCTGAGCACTTAAGAACCGAGGCGCTGGCAATCATGGGCGCTGGAACTATCACGACCGCGCATCATCTTGCAATCGTGTCATTCCATCTTCTGGAGAATCCGGAAATTCTGGCTAAGTTGCAAGCCGAGTTGAAGACTGTTCTGCCGGGTAAGAATTCAAGGCTCCAGTGGCAACAGCTCGAGCAACTTCCATACTTGAACGCGGTTATTATGGAGGGCCTTAGGATGTCTTACGGAACTGCACATCGGCTACAACGTATTTCACCTGATATCGCTTTACAGTATAAGGAATGGACTATCCCGGTTGGTACACCTGTGGGCATGACTACGCTGCTTTTACACAATAATCCGGATACTTATCCTAACCCGAGGAAATTTGACCCCAATCGTTGGCTTCAACCCTCGGCAAGCAGACTGGGTAAATACATGGTGGCATTCAGCAAAGGCTCAAGGCAATGTCTTGGAATGAAGTACGTCACGTTTCTAGCAAGTTGACAGATAGTTTGATTACTTATGCTGATAAATTGGTTCTACAGTCTTGCTTACTGCGAGATATACCTCACCATCGCCGCAATCTTCGCCCCAGGTAGATTCAAGCTCGAAAACTATGAAACCACAGCCAGAGACACTCAGCCGGCCCACGATTTCTTAATCCTGGCTTTCCTTCGGATTCAAAGGGTATCAGGGTTGCCATCGGCTGAGACCGGCACCTGGGCGATATTTTCTACCTCGCTTGGGAAAGTGCTCTTACTTTCCAGGTGTACTAAGAAAGTGCAGTTCTTCCTGCGGGATCTTTTGTCCTTGTTGGTCATTATCGGACATCGTGCTGCGAGGTTTCTGGATTGGCACATAGAATTTCTGATTTTACCTTACTGACAACAGCCACAGACTTGTTCAAGCAAGGGAAATGTGTGGATGAGCAAGATACCGAGGTTAAGCCACACTGGCTCGAAGAATCATTATCAAAACCAATATATGATATAGCCGGTTCCTGGTAGGACTTAGGCTTGTCTATCCTCGGAAAGCGCATGGTCTAAAACAGGCAAGATTCTTCCACGGTGGCAACAGAGAAGCAGACATTACCTACCAAACTCTCCCTGGCGTTAATTCAGCTGTTGCTGCCACAATGCAAAATGTGTTATCATTGAAGCGCGAGTCAATGATGAAGAATAATATTGCTCCAAACCTCATACGATCAATTTATGGCAAAGACTTCATATCAGATGGTTGGATGGAGGCGAGGAGGCTTGTCCATGACATAGGTGGCACCCATTTTCAGGAAGAGCTGCCATTCAGAGTTGGCTCTTCTTCTCTGACAACGGTTGACACTCTAATTCTAATGAACAGACTCACATGCCCTTTAAAAAGCAAATCATCCGATGGTTTGCTGCTGTGACTAACATTGTGTTCGCCCTTGCTACACATAAGATTTATGAGAGGGAGGGCCCATACCATTGGCCCAGAAAGCTACATTCAACATCATTCTCACAGCCCTTAGTTGAGTGTTGGGCCTCAGCTTCTTCGTCAGTCATTATTTTCTTGTATTTCGACATTCGTGGAGACTGATGATCACTTGATAACCGAACAGGATGCGTTCAGAGACCAAGCAAAAGTCCTGTGATGGAGGATCCTGGCGCACGAGTACAGGTATTATTAGTGGAGGACTCCTTGTCGGCAAGAGTTTGCGTGCCGTTTCAAGGGTTACAACCCCAAGGATCGCCAAAAAAAACAAACATACCCGTGGCTTACGAATAGGATAATAACGGTGTCAACAGGGACATGTTTTGAATGCCTAGAAGTTGGCTTTTCACTCGGATATGATACAAATGGAATCTTGGACGCTTGGAACTACGAATTCAGTGACGATTCATTTACCGGCAACATCTCGATTCCATTACCGAATGGGCCTTAGGTGGTACGACCTATATCTATTTAGATACGGATATCTCACAACGTGCGATTTGCAGAGTTGTTGCCCCCGATGCATTTGGATATGGGCTCACAAGAACGTGGCGCAGGAGAGAGATCCACCTTCTACCGGTGTACTATCACGATGGATTCTGTAACTGATACCACGCACGAAGCGCACATCATCTCGGATGGTATGGCTCGTCTAGCAGCTTCGGCAATTGGACTGGAGGGTCGGTATGCAACTGGCATTGGCAAACAGCCCTGGACCCGGTTCCAACTTTATGCTTTTGGGTAAATCAGACTCAGCTTTTGGCTTTGAAATCTGTAGGCAGGAACATATCAAAAACGCTGACACATATAATTAGGACCGCATGGGAGATCCATTGCCAGACTGCCGAGACCGTTGGTGCAAACATGGGCGAATTTACATTCGGATCTATCGTCACTATGGTCTCAAAGAGTTTTCAAGTCCAGATTGAGGGAACTGTCTCTTACCTCAGCAGCCGCGTCAACGTCTACTGCCAATGTGGTTGGCCTCCTTGCATGCATCGTCGGCGTTCACTTGAATCTCTTCACCTCAGGTATTTATGTAAGCAGACTCGTCGTTATCAAGGACGATCTAATTTCTCTATTGCTCGATTCCTGCGCCCACTGGTAGACGGATTTGGGCCTTCGGGCACGATGCTGAATGATAAAGAGATGAGTCGAGCTATACCGAGGACTGTCGATAGTAGTAGCGTTGTCTAAGGTCCACGAGATGTTGAAGGCTCCAGTGGCTATTACTTGGATATAGGCAGTATCGTACCTCCGAGACTTCAATTGATGGGTAGACGGCGTCCTATCCGGACATATCCATGATAAGGCAAAGGCAGTTTGAAAGTTTAGCCAAAGTCTGGCGGTCCAGCAAAAGAGGGTAGTGTTTGTAAAGCATAGAGTAGCGTAGTAAATGAATCGTGTGTTGGATGCTACTAAAATTGAGGCTGATGGAGTTGTACGGTACCCCTACATAAAAAGTACTTGTATGACACTGGCGGAGACTGGAAGAGGATGTATGATAGAAGATTCTTGATTTATCAATTGTACCCAAGCTAGGTACCGGGTCCCGAATATTACAGTAGGTCTTATAGAGATGCACCATCGTACTCATCTCTGTATTTTATCTAAGTAGATATAGAAATTAAAAATAGGTTGAAATAAATGGAGATGGTTGAATGCCGGAACATAATTTCGTCTTGGCATCAATTTCCGGGACTATTGGACGAGGTGCAAGGTTCATATGTCCAACACCGGTGATATGCGCCTCCTGGCGATAAATCTTCTCTCGCTCCATGGATAGAAAATTCACTCTGTTATGGCTGTCGCGAAACCAGTCAGAGTACTCGGCGCGCTTTCAATTGCCTTGTTCTTCTTCCTCGTCTTCACCTTTGTCCGACAGCCTCCAGCAATTCATACACCTGGACATGAGGATGGACAGATAATTTCGAAGATGGAGAGGGATCCTCTCCTAGACCGTACGTCTATCTACCACTACTTCTGGGGAACTTCCCATCGCTGATCCCTCTTTCCAGCAATTGGCGAACCACCAGAACCACTATGGAGGGCCGATAAGTACGCGGCTGACAATCCAGACTCACCTCGCATCAATGCCACTCTCCTTGTCCTCGTCCGCAACGAAGAACTGAAAGACCTTCTGCCAACCATGCAACAACTAGAAGAGCACTGGAACCACAAGTTTAATTATCCATGGACCTTCTTCAACGAGGTCCCTTTTACCGATGAATTCAAGCGTCGGACACAGGCCCTCACCAAAGCCAAATGTAATTATGAGCTCATACCTAAAGAACACTGGGCAACACCCGACTGGATCTCACACGAATTATACGAAGAAAGCACCAAAATCTTAAAAGAGAACAACGTCCAGTACTCGACCAAGGAATCCTACCACCAAATGTGTCGCTGGAACAGCGGCATGTTCTACCATCACCCAGCACTCAAAGACACCCGGTACTACTGGCGCGTGGAACCGAAAGTCAAGTTCTTCTGCGACATCGACTATGACGTCTTCCGCTACATGCAAGATCACAATAAAACCTACGGCTTTAACATCAACCTCTATGATGCCCCAGAATCGATTCCTACGCTCTGGCCGGAGACGATCAAATTCCTAGCTGCCCATCCGGAGTACCTGCACGAGAATAACGCTATGAAGTGGCTGGTCGACAGCGAAGCAAGGCCTGAGCACAACGAGAAGGCGCATGGATACAGCACGTGCCATTTCTGGAGTAATTTCGAGATTGCTGATATGGAGTTCTGGCGGAGCAAGGCATACGAGGACTACTTCAATCACCTAGACCGAGCTGGGGGTTTCTTCTACGAGAGATGGGGCGATGCGCCTGTTCATTCTATTGCCTTGGGCTTATTTGAGGATGCTTCAAAGATCCATTGGTAAGCCCCGGCTGCCTTTTCTCAATATGAAGCTTTTGGTTTCCTCGAACGAGATAGCTGACGGAGATGGTGATGACAGGTTCAAGGATATCGGCTATAACCATATCCCGTTCTACAATTGTCCCAACAGCCCGAAGTGTCGTGGCTGTAAGCCCGGTCAATTTTATGCTGGAGAATCGTGGTTGCAGAGGGAGGATTGTAGGCCGAATTGGTTTAAATATGTTGGGACGGGTTGAGCTGGCAAATTCTGATAAGATGGAGAGTATTCCTTGTGCTGGGTCACGAGAAGCAAAATCGCTGTATAGATTTTGGTGCTGAAGTCAAAGAGCGCCTGGATGGTCTTGGGCAGGTTGGGTGCTAAGTATTTATTTATGCATGCTACCGTGCACAAGACTGATAATTATTCTTGACCAGATTTCACGTGAAGTATTCTCATGCCTGTTCTTGCTGCTGTCTGAACAAAAAAAACACAAGATCTGATGCAGAGTAGGAGCAGGGAATGCATGTGTATAAATAGCCAACCGCTCAAACGTGGGGACATCAAGACAGAAGCTGTTCGGGGTGTCGAAAAGAAGAAACGAACGTCCAAGGTGGTGCACGGTATGATAAGACATCTGCAGCCGCAGTCCATTGTTCACAAGAAGTGATTTAATTGCCGTTGTCAAAGAGACAGGAAAGGTCCGTCTGAAGCAGTGTTTGATCAATTTGCAGTAACGTATGGCCCAAGTAGATGTTCAGCTGTACAAGATGCATCTACTTCAGCCGCTTCGCAGCACCACAGATAACGCAGGGGAAGAATAATCTACACTGAGCGGTGTGGCGATTCTCTTGGCTTCTTGCATTCCGCTCTTGCTCCGGCTCCCACTCCCATAGGGATGCGCAATGGGGTTATCATTCTCTTCAAAACAGATTGTCTGTCGCTTTCTGGTTGCCCACAATTGGTGTTTCTCCTCCATCGTTACGGGTTGAAGTATGGGCTGTCTGATCCTTCTGGGTATAGATCCTCCTTTAGATTGACTCCTAGCTCTTCTCGTAGGCCCTTCAGCTCGTCGAGGTATTCTTGGTATTGGTGCTTATTTTCGACTTTGTGTTTGATTCCTGTTCTCGATAGAATCAGCTACAGCCAAAAATTTCCTTTCCGGCTATAAGAAGGGATGCCATCTCCTTTTCGAGCCAAAGAGTCCGCCTTGTAGCTAAGCCAAAGACTAGGAGAACTCGCACCTTCAAATATTCTAACGGCGGTGGGGAAGTCATTAACTCGTCTTGCGGCTTTAAGCGCAGCAACTATGACTGTGGGTGATGGGACGAGATCGTAAGCGAATGCGTTGTTTAGATTTCTCTATGGAGCAGTGTGTGAGTCGTGTATGCCTCAGGCACCCACATTCTTCGAGCAGATGCATACCTGAAGCTCGAAGACGTCTTGTACACCGTCGAACTCCTTCTCATATCTGTTGTTGAGCATTCGTCAGCCTCAGTTCCCTCCTTTAGCCGCGTGATTCAGTTCCGTTCGATCTTGCCGACGATGCCCTCCATTGGTATCATTTCATCACTTCGGAGGAGGGAGACAATGTCTGAGCAACGCTAGAGCTTCGCATACCTAGCAGTGAACTCTTCAAATGTTTCTTCCTCGTGTCCGCTGCTTCTCCTAGCACTTGTGCTGCCAAATCCAGCTTTGGCAGATCCTAACGAAGTCGCAAGTGCAGCAACAGGAGCTCTTCTCGCTGGTCGAAGAGCGGGTCTGAAGAAAGGAGTTGAAGGAGTGCGTGCAGCAAAACGCAGTACCGAAGTTGACGCCATATTATGTCGTCGCTGTCGGGGTTGGGTCCAAGTTGCGCTGATGTCGCTTGCAGGATGTACCTATCAATTGTGGTGGAGGTCACTTTTACGGCAGCTACAGCTTTAGCTCGGGTGGCACTCCAGGGGCAGGAGCATAAATTGGGGCACGTTCAGCGGACCTTCGGACTTTCGAATGGCTAAGAGAGCTGCGAGCTCAATCCGGATTAGTTAGTTATGCATATCCATTGACGAGCTGCATCGCGCAAAACTTACACATCAAATCCAACCCTGTGATTGGAAAACCTGTGCTCAATTTAGGGTCTTTCTACGGCTTACCAGAAGACCACATCTTCATTCTATACGCACAGTTATGAGGCATTACTTTTGCTAGCTGATTCATTTCAATTTTGAAGATGTCTTTCATACTATCGGCACCTTCGGAAATTCGGCCTAAAACAGCGGTCCAATGACGAAAAGTCACATGCTGCCAAGCTGTGGAACTGGTTTCTGCCCCTTTTGTGCCTCAACACCACTCAGCCAGCTTGCGCAATTATCCCAATTGCGACCATTGTCTTCCTGACCGTTTCCTTTCTCTTTCTAGACCACCTTCTTGTTCCCTTCGTAGTCCTTCCTTTTCCCAATTATACGGTTATCGCCCGGCGCCGTTCGTATCAATATCCACACTCCTTCGTCGAAATCTGCTCGCCCATCGCGGTCAACCATGTCGCTCAACAAAATCCCTATCCCTACTCTTGACCGGCCATTCGGGATTGAACTATGGCCCATCTTCGCGAAGGTCTATTCGGCTATCATGGGCTATTCTCCAACAGACTTCAGGTTTGTCCCAGGAGTCACACCCATGTCGACACTGAAAGAGACGGCTGTCACACTCGGGGCATACTATGTTATTGTTCTTGGTGGCCGCGAGGTGATGAGAACCCGAAAACCATTCGTCATCAATGGCCTGTTCATGTTACACAACTTTTACCTGACCGCCATCAGCGCCACGCTGCTAGCACTCTTTATTGAGCAGCTGCTGCCAACAGTCGCCCGGAAGGGTGTGTTCTTCGCCATTTGCGACCATGAGGGAGGGTGGACGAAGGAGCTGGTTGCACTGTACTACGTATGGGCATTGAACATGCTACTGGTTGAGCGGGCTCTGACGTTCAGCAGCTGAACTATCTCACCAAATACCTTGAACTGCTGGATACTGTTTTCCTCGTCCTAAAGAAGAAGCCATTGAGTAGGTAATTCATATACCTACATCACATTTTGCTGATAGCTGCAGCTTTCTTGCACACATACCATCATGGAGCAACCGCTGCATTGTGCTACTCCCAGCTCATAGGGCTAACATCGGTTTCTTGGGTCCCGATCTCCCTTAACCTGGTGGTCCATGTTGTCATGTATTGGTACTACTTCCAGTCTGCTCGTGGAATCCGCATCTGGTGGAAGAAGTACATTACAATGCTTCAGATTCTCCAATTTGTCATCGACCTTGGATTTGTCTACTTCGCATCATATACGTACTTCACATCCACTTACTTTGATTGGATGCCGAATATGGGAAAATGTGCTGGTGAAGAATTCGCTGCATTTGCTGGCATGGGAATCTTGAGCTCCTACTTGCTCCTGTTTATCTCCTTCTACCTCGCAACGTACAAGAGATCAGGCAGAGCTCGTCGCAATACCGGCAAACAGGCTGCCATCGAGATGAAGAACTTTGAGATTCCCGATGGTCTCCAGCTTTCCTCAATGGGCGATGGCAGCATTACCGCAAATGGAGACGCCAAGACAAGTGGCCGTGCAGCGAATGGTCCGACAACACGCTCAAGAAAGGCTTGAGCCTTCAGAATCTTGTGACGGAATCTCAGTGTCCGAGAACTGAGAACCGTGGAGACCAAAAGTCACGCATGTATCTCGCGCAGGTAAGCGAACGTGCAGATCACGGCCGTGACATGGCATAGGAAATAGGGGAAATAAAAAATATACTAATTTGATTGCATGGGTTGGAGTGAAAGTTGTGTACCACTGCTACATTACTTGAATGTACATTGAAGAAGTCAGTACCTTCTAAACGAGGCTACTAAAGAAGATCACTAGGCGTGCTAAAACATTTGACTCTTTTGGGACACTGAACAGCCATGGCACTTTTGAGTCAGGGGGACTTTCGAGCCGAGACCGTTCCTATGCATAAGGTCCCCCCCAGTTCGCAAGCCACACCCTGTAAGGCAACCACTAATGTTCAAACATCATAATCGAAATCTTGACACACGGGAGACTCTTATGCAATCTTTTCCAGAATGTAATTGCCATTCAACGTTGCGCATAAATATCAGATTCGCACCTCGATTCGACACGGCAAGTATTTGTTCCATTCTCTTTCATTGTCTCTTCTTTTATCCGTCTTCTTTCCCATCGTGTATTGAGAGAGCTGCTTAGTCTCCTTAGCCGTCGACAATGGAGGCGACCTTCATGGACTTATGTGTCACTCAGTTTGCAGCGGCGTCCAACAAGGCTGATACATTTCATTCGGCTGCTGAATGGGAAACCTGGCGTCCCCTCATCACGCAGCTATATTTCACAGAAGACAAGACTCTTAAAATGGTCCAAAAGATCCTTGCTGATGATTACGGTTTTCATGCCACGTGAGCCTTCTTTCGGTATTTGAGAGTCCTTGATTGACATGTTTTGTCCAGCGAAAGGATGTTTAAGCGACGAATCCACAAATGGAAGTTGGACAAGAACAACAAGGAGCATGAGATGAAGGCCGTCGTCCATACTCTCGAGCAACGCAGACAGTATGGCCGAAGCCCTCTTCTCGCTGTGCGGGTAGGCCGCCGAAATATAACTCTCTCAGAGGTAGCGAGGCATTTCAGGCGCAAAGGCGTCAAAGCCCGCACAGCAAATCCCTGAGAGCCATTTACCAACAATCACCAGAATTCGGATCCCAGTGTACTCTCTTGTCAGTCTAGCACCTATCATGATTCGCCTCCTCTGGTAGGAACATCTCGCCTTACCACTACATGCTCGGGGTTCAAAGTCACCCCAACGGCCTCTTCCCAAAGTCAACAACCTTCTTATTATCCCAGCAATTTTCAGACTTTCTTCTATCCAACTGACTGGATTGATGATCCATTGTCGTCAAAAAGTGAAGAAGTCACCGCCAACACAGTCATTGATGGCACGCGACATTTCTATTTTACGTGGGCTGATAACATTCGCTCATTCAGAAACGTTAACTGCCTTTGCAAAGCGTCCTTTGTCTCGGACATGTCGCGACACATCAAGTTTGTACTGACCAATCTACAATGGCGAAAGTATGGAGAAGCATTCAAGTTCCTTAATACCATCCTCGAGGGTTTGCGGCGGTGGGCGAAGATGCTGAATCCAATAGTACTCCTTCTTATGCTCTGTTTCGTTATGGAGCTAGACAATGGCGATATGCAGCCTGTGGCACAACAAGTCTTGTCGTACCTTGCGAGTCTCTCGAACATTGCGCAAGGACCAGGACATCCGATCCGGACGGTGTCACGCTCTCTCCTTCACATGGCAGGCCCTGAGAGGTCACGGCTTGTTCGTGCCACGCTTTGCAATATTTACGGTTCGATAGGACAAGACGGCAACGCTGATTCCATTCTTATTGCATGGGCGCAATCAATCGGAACACACATCACGCATCATCTTGCCAACGGCAGGAGCATCAGAATCTCAAGCGTAGTTACCAGACACCACAGAAGTCATGATGCAGATGACTTCAGCTGCTGCATTCACGGCGCGCTTGGACCCAAATTGACCGGTGCTGGAAGAGGAACAAGATTTTGTGACCAGGCATCAGTGAGATCCAGCCGTTAATTTTGATGGTCATTGTCGTCTGAGGTTCGACTGTTTGCCGCAAATGCCACAACAATAATAGGGCGAGGAGTTCGATTGAACCGAACCTGCAGATTGACCGAAAAATCGGGCCATCTAGAGCCTCGGCAGTGCTGCACTCATATTGGAGACGTCAGCTAGCTGATCTCAAGAAACCGCAAGGTCTAAAAGAAAGAACGAAGGGGCGACTACTGAAGATGTGAACTTAACAGTTAGACGATCTCGCACCCACAAAGTGCGGCCGTCCTGGATGACACTTCACAATATGAGTCACAAGACTGGCCACATCTTGGGAGCGCTATCTCTACAGAAGACACTCTCAACAACTGGCAGTTTGGGTGGGGCCATCCACAGAAGTCGAGTCGCCAGGGCCGGTGTTCCGTTCCACCACATGCGCGCATTCAGGAACGAAGGCATGCGTATTCCAGGTAGGGCGAATGCTCTGGAATCCAGTCTGCCACGACCTCCATTGGCCATCGCATTCGACACCGCTCAATGCGCGCCATGCGATTGGCAACAGATCGAAATCCTCACTTATTCACAGGCTATTTCTAGACTCTTGGCAGACAGGGCGACAGTTCTCCAAACTTTGGCATGACCTGCAAAACGCAATACGCTGGGTAAACCCGTGATCATGTAGAGGTAGCAAAACTGTCCATGACAGGAAGCGACCTTGCAGCAAAGCTGGCTACGGGCTTTGATGCCCTGTCATGCCATACCAGGTCTCTCAACACGAATGTTAGAAGAGGAAGTCTTTGCAAACATCCGCACCAAGACTATCACAGTTGTTTTCGCTCAAACATTATCCTCTACTTAAAGGTATTGAGACCTCGGCCGTACAATGTACCTAGTCCCCGAACACGGCAAATGGACTTGGCGGGGAGAGCTGAATCATGCTAGCAGTACGGAGTACTTTGTAAACGTTAACGAATTATCGTTGACTTAGTCACTTCATATATGTTTTTTCGAACTGCCTATTAAGGAAGCTAAGCTTACCCAGAGCATCGGGTGCTGAAGTCAACTTTTCCACCGGAGTTTGGCCGGAAGAGAGAACCCTTGCACCCTCTTCGTGCTTAGGATACGCTTTGAGCCTGAGGTAGCTGTCGACGCTTTGACCGTGAAGCTTGACGTAACCTTCTCAGAATCGGAGCTGAGATGGCAGCCTCCCCAGCAATCACTCTTGTGGTCTCGGCCCGATGCTCACCGCATCCTACTTCGTGTTCGGACAGGGTAGTAACGTTACTACAGAGTATGACTGTGCGAAATGATTACCACCAATGGGACTGTCCGGAGGCTCTCTACTGCAAGCCCCCTGTTCAGCATTATGTAGAGGTGTTGCCCGGTGATGAGGAATACAAGTATAAGTATAAGCATCTTATGCCTCCTCTGCTCATTCGCTTTATATCTTTTATATCAGGACGTCATCTTCTCAATTTTGGCTAAAATGCATCGGCTTCGCGCGTTGTCACTGCTGGCGTTTACAGGGGCCTTGTCACTGGCGGTGGAGGGTGCAGTCACCAATACATGTACAGCAGCCGCCATCCCATATCCCGAACTATTTGGCGCTGATATCATTTCCCTCTCTGCGTCTACTGTCACGAACCTCTCGGCCTCTCTCATCCAGGCGGATTCGCACTTCCCACTCAATATTACCGGACTCAACTTTTGTAATGTTACTGTGCAATACACGCATCCTGGGCAGAACGATAGCATCAACGTTCAGCTCTGGCTTCCGCTTGAAGGCTGGAACGGACGTTTCATGGGCACGGGCGGCGGTGCATATGCCACTGAAACTGGATTCCAATCCTTACCCTATGCAGTGTCAATGGGATATTCGGCTGTTGCCACTGACGGTGGTCATGCATCTGGGGTGTATTATGATCCTTCTTCATGGGCTCTCGTAAGTCCAGGCAATGTCAACTGGGCTCTCTTGCAGGACTTTGCCGCAATCGCACTGGATGACGCGGCTACCATTGGGAAAGCCGTCACAACCGCCTACTACGGTTCACCGCCAGAGTATTCCTATTGGAATGGTTGCTCCACAGGAGGCCGTCAAGGCCTCATGATGGCGCAAAGATACCCCTCACAGTATGATGGGATTCTCGCCGCAGCACCAGCAATCCAGTGGACAAGTGGCATTGTTGCCGAATATTGGCCTCAACTGGTGATGAATCAAATAGGTGCGCACTGAGTTCGCATTTCATCCTCAGCTAACATGGTCAGGTGTTTATCCGCCACAATGCGAATTCGAAGCAATTAGGGAAGCTGCGACGGCGGCGTGTGATGAGCTAGATGGAGTCGCTGACGGCATCATTGCGGCTCCGGGTCTGTGTGCCTTCGATCCACGCGCTGTGGTAGGCCAGGCTTTCACCTGCCCCGGTAGCGGTACCAACGAGACGATTTCTTCTGAAGCCGCCACAATTGCGCTTGCAGCATGGAGTGGACCGAGAACCACTGACGGCAGATTCTTGTGGCATGGCCTGAACAGGGACGCGTCGTTTGCAGGCTTGGCCAATACCAGTTGTAGCTCGCCTGGAAATTGCACTGGACAGCCATTTCCCCTCAGCAGCTCTTGGATCACATATTTCGTTCAGAAGGATCCCACTTTCGACGTTATGCAGATGTCATATAGGCAATATGACAGCATATTCCGCCAATCTAACAACCAATACGCATCCATTATCGGAACGAGCGATCCTGATCTGACGGACTTCAGAGAAGCCGGTGGGAAGATGATCAACTGGCATGGCCTGGCGGATGAGATAATTTTACCAAATGGCACGTATGATTATTATCAGCGAGTTCTGGATCTTGACCCCAACGCGGCAGATTACTATCGCTTCTTTCCCGCTCCTGGGGTGGCTCACTGTGCTGGTGGAGCTGGCTACTTCCCGGACAATGTACTCCAATCCTTGGTCGATTGGGTAGAGAACGACATTGTGCCTGAGACGTTAAGTGGGACGACCTTGCCAGATACCAATGGTACAGTACGACGGGCACCGTTATGTCCGTATCCACTCGTTGCGGCATACAACGGTGGCGATATCAACGTGGCTTCTTCTTTTGAATGTCAGACATCTTTTTGAGTAACGAAAAGCACGGAATGATTGCATATGATGATTGCATATGATGCTCACACTAGAGTTAGATAGTCTTGTGGATTTTTCAGCTTGGGAAAGTACATATTTATTAAAGATATGATCCTAGAAGTCTAGTATGTGTATCAATAATCAAGTAGTTCTTCCCCTTTCGGCCGGATGTTCGTAGAACATGAGATCTTCACAGAAGTGAAGCATAAGATTGGAGCTCTTGCTATGACTCGGACGGTACGTGCTGTTGAGTCGAAGCGAAACGAATTACCAACCAAAGTTTTGAAAGGGAGAAATATGCGCTGTCAGGAGCGATCAGCGTGAGAGCGGAGATGCCAATTTCCACCAGGCTCCTCAGGCTAGCAGCATGATATCCTCAAGAGGAAGAGGCTGCATCCGCTATAATGGCTCGCATTTCGCGCAATCTATCCAGAACCCTTGGAAAATAGCCCAGACCTTTTTTCCCGAGAAGATCATGAGCTTCGTATAGCAGATCAACCAAAGTCTGATTGATCGACTGTGGATCATGATCCCACTCGAACCGTAAATTAGCCACACGCAGCATCATGTCGTCGAGCTTGTTATAGCTTTCCAGATAACAGTCATAAATGGACGTACTCATCTCGTCATCATTTCGTTGAACCTCGCCGGAAAGTTGCGTGATTATTGCGAAAGCTCAAGAGAGTCCCGCATCCTTCGAAAGCTTCAAGAGCTCTTCAACCTCGGGCAAGAAGCTCGCCGCGCCGTTAGCGAAGTCTTCGCAGTCGACGATGCGGTGCCAATCATCGCCATCTCTTTCGTACCATTCCTCATGTTTCGCTGTCGCTACGACGGATACTACTTAAGTATCTTCAGTTTGTGCTTAGCTGTTTCTTGGGTTTCATTTCAAGCAGTGAGTGGTACGTCGGCAATATGTTAAAGCGCCTTGAACGCATCTACAAAATATTGCGCTGGGATATCGTGTCAATCATATGCTCGCTGGCAGTTATGAAATGAAATGGGACGATAAAGCTTACATTCAGGATTTTTCAACATAATTTTCAGCGTCACCCTGACCAGCGACAAGCGATCTTCGAGTGCTTTCAAATGCTCGGCCTGACTCATCCCGATCTTTTACATATCATGTTGTTTGTGATATATTTTTCACCATCACATCTCGGTTTTTTTGCTGGCGCACATAAACAACCTTTATCGTCAAGACTTCGCGCGACACCTGTGGTCTTCATACCCGCTCCTTCCATGTCATCTATAGTCACCAGATGGGTTCAGACATGACCGAACACTACCAGAAGGGTGTCTGGTGTAAAGAGAGGCGGTCTCAAGTCAAGACGTCATCTACACGAACAGTCTCAATGAATTTGAACCATGGCACTCTAAGAGCTCCACAGAAGATCCTCCCAGAAGATCTCTATGTACTGCTTGAGTCTCATTGGATCCGAGATATCTCATATCTCGAAGGACATGTCTCCATTTCTTAACATCAGTACCAACATCATCAAATGCAGCTTCCTACCCTTTCCTTAGTTTCATAATCCAGCCGCCGACTTCGAGGGGTAGGATGCATGCATCATCGCTAACTCGTACTGGGCAGGATCAGAATTCAGGGCAGAGACTTTCGACAGCTCCCTGACGACGCAAGCTTCCACAATATGGTGAGCTCTAGCTGAAACATTTTAGTGACAGGATCGTGTACCAGTTCGTGATTCAAACAAGGCTGAACCACAACATCAAGCATTAACTCCCAGAATATCTTGTGTAGAGGACGCGAACCCATACCGCTGAAAGCGAAGAACGATACGATATCAAGTCTTCTTGACAAGGGTGACCCCACTCTTCTCCGAGTAAACGGCGAGCAGTAATACGGGGGAAGCTTTTCATGACCATGGCAGCCAGATGCTTTCCTCACCGAAATCAACGGCCAAAAGCTCCACTTCTATACAAACCAGAATTACCGACTCGCTCAACCATCAGAGCAACCCCAATATAAGAAAGGGCTGCTCCAACCACCTACCACGGGTGCGAACAGAGGTCCAAGTGCTCTCGTCTACTATACCGTGACGACAGACCACTTCCCCCATAACGTCCCGACCGATCGCAACTCCATGCCCAGGCATTGAAAATAAAGGCACTCCTCATCCCCGCCAGTCACTTCATCATCCATCACCACAACAACGCGAAGAAGTCCCAGAAACTCCCTCACACTAAGTATCAAGCAACAAGCCGGAGAGCAAGGCGGAATCTCCAAGTTGGGAGTGGCAGAAAATCCTCCAGTAAAGCGACAGCGTATCTTCTGTATGGTAACAGTAGTATGCTATGACAGATTTCCACGACCATGGCTTATAATCTTCCAACGGAGCATGGAGTTGTTCATTTTTGCTCGGTACGATGACAAGTGTTGGACACGGGTAGAGTGCAGAGATGCAGAGATGGGAGGGAATGAATGGCTTTTGTGTGTGAGAGAGAAGAAGAAGATGCTGCTTCGAGGGAATGGAGGACACTCGGCCACGTTGCAGCCTGGGAAGGGCGCGTGGGGAAGAGAGTCAGGCCCAGTCTCTTGTATGGTTACGTGGTGGGTTCCCCCTTGGCTGGGATAGTCTGCTTGTCTGATTCCTCCACCAGTTTTAGCGAGTTGACAGATTGGATGAGGAGGCCGCTGCTGGGTTAGCTCGAGGGGACGGGTTTCTTAGACCTACAGTTTAGAAGTCAATAGTTCTGGATATGTATACAGGACCAAAGACGCACAAGTCCAAGATTTGTAGCCAATATCCAACAAGACCAAAGACTGATGAGATCCGAGAATCTGTCAGATCATCGATACGTAGATTCCTATCCCCAAGCATATTCTATCCCATCGCGCCGTGATATCAAGAAGCCATCTCGTCTAGCACTCCTCCGCCTCCCCCTCCCCAGGAAAGCCGTTCCTCAAATTCTCATACTTACTCTCGGGATAGTGCAAACAATTCCTCTCCTCCTCCAACACCTGCGTGCCACCCAGCGCGTCGACAAACGTCGCCACCAAACTCGCCTCGCCAGCCTTATCGCCACTGCTCTCCCACCACATGCCGCCGCCCAACCCCCTCTCGCGCACAAACGCTGCCTTCTCCCGCACCATGCCCGGGGTATCGTAACTCACCATCATCTTGGTCGTGGGACAGTAACTCCAGCTCGCGCCGCACGCCTCCTTGCCGTCGCAGTCATGATACTCCACCGCGCCCGGGCGAGGGAGGGCCTTGTAATCCCAGACGCCCTGCTCCCAGCTGCCCTCGCCGACCCCGGCATATCGATGGCCGGGTCCCTTGGTATCGGCGAAGGCGCGGCCGTAGAGCGGCATGCCCAGGACGATCTTGCTCGGATGCACGGCGCCGGGGGGTTTGGTGTAGAAATCCACCGCCGCCGCCGTGTTGAAGGGCGTGGCGGCTGGGGAACAGGTTGCTCTGGTGCGCGGCGTGCTTGTCCCAGGAGCCGGAGTAGTCGTAGGCCATCAGATTCCAAAAGTCGAGGTAGGCATCCATCTCGCGCACTTTGAGCTTCTGGAAATGCTGCGCCCCGGCCGGACAGGCGATGCTGAGGAGGAAACGGCAGTGAGCGGGACCGCGTTTGGCGGCGGCTTCGTCGAGCGCCCTCCTCGTCTCCCGGAGCAGGAGGACGTAGTTCTCCGCCTCGCTGGAGTCCTGCGGGTATTCCCAGTCGACGTCGAGCCCGTCAAACCCCAGATCTTCCACCAGCTGGACCGCGGATCGGGCGAATTCCCTCCTCCCTTCCTCCCGGCCCGCCACGGCCAGGGCAGCAAAGTTGGAAGAGTACGTCCATCCGCCGATGCTCAGTAGTGTTTTGAGCCTCCGATTCCGCTTCTTGAGCAGGAAGAGCTGCTTGATGCATCCATAGACATTGGTGCCCACGTCGTTCCACGAGTCGGTGGGATAGTGCTTGTCCGTGTCGGACCAGGCGTCGGTCAGGTAAACGGTCCCGGTTTCGGGGCGGATGTTGGCGAAAGCGTAGAGGACGTGGGTTACTTTGTCCACAGGCAGGTCTTGCGGGTTGTGGGAGCGGGCATAGATGGCCCAGTTGACATAGTAAAGGACTGTGCGGAGGGAATTGCCGCCGCCCATGATGTTGGGGGTGGGGTGTGGGTTGTGGAGGGGAGTGGTGTTCTTGGGGGTTGCGAAATTGAGGTACGAGGTGAGCTCGGTGAAGTTGAGGGCGAAGATCAAAATGCAGGCGGGAGAGGAAGAAGAGGAATGCCTTATATGACGCCAGAATCTGGTGACTGGTTTAGAGAGACATGCAGAAAACTAGAAGAATGGCAGTAGGAAAGGGAAAGGTGAGCAAAAGAACAACAGCGCTTCGTAGGAGGCTCAGATGCTGCGGGGAAAGGGGATTGGTTTGCTACAGGGTGCAGCGGCGCAGCAGAATACAAAATACGTGTCAGTCACAATTTGTCCCAGGCCTGCGAAACCGTGAAAGGCAAGGAGATCGCTTTGCTTGCAGGGGCCAGGGGGCCAGGGGGCCAGGGGGCCAGAGGGCCAAAGGGTGTACCAAGGAGGAATAGTATTATACCTCTTACATCTTACACTGGAAGAAGTCATACTGTGTGACCTGCGCGAAAGGACCAATGCGGGAGACCAAGTGGGGCGTTGGGAGAAGAAACGAAGGATTGGTATGAATGCTGCATGTCTGGTGCTTGTGAAATAGCCGATGTGTTTGACGAGCTACTGTGTATTGGCTAGCGATTGTCTACTTCGACTCGTCAAAGACGTAGGTCAGGTGGCATTTGCCGCAGTACTGCCGATTGTGCATGGCTGCCATGAAGACACCAGCACCACACTCGGGCGTTGGACACTCCCTCCTCAGGCGCTCAATCTTCCCGTCGCCATCCACCTTGTAGTACTTGAGCACAGCCAATTTGGTCTTCTTGCGCTTGTGCTTGATCTTCTTGGGTGTGGTGTAGACCTTCTTCTTGCGCTTTTTCGCACCCCCACGGAGTCGGAGGACGAGATGGAGGGTGGATTCCTTCTGGATATTGTAGTCGGAGAGAGTCCGGCCGTCTTCGAGTTGCTTGCCGGCGAAGATCAGTCGCTGTTGATCGGGTGGGATGCCCTCCTTGTCTGAACACGCATGTCAGAACCGTGAAGAATAGAATTACCGTTAAGGTACGCGTTGAGGCCGAGCTGAAGGGCATACATACCTTGAATCTTGCTCTTGACATTGTCGATAGTATCTGACGATTCCACCTCAAGGGTGATCGTCTTGCCCGTGAGGGTCTTGACGAAGATCTGCATTTTGAAGATCTAGAAGACGAGAGAGGACGGTCAGTTCCTCACTCCTTAGTCCAGGGCCGAAGAGCTCCTGAAAGTCATCGCCAAAGGGTAAGAGATGGCAAGGCTTGAAGGATGCTGGTGGATCTTACCTAGACAAGAATGTCTTCCTCAACCTTCGACGCAGATGTGGTGACTGGAATTCAAAGTCGGATGTGGAATTTGGAGTTTTCGAATTCAGAGAATGTGGGACTGGGCACGTGATATGTCACTGATAGCAGAGTTGGCGCTAGACACGGAAGCTAAAAAGCTTGCTGCATCAGTTTCCCCATCAACCTTGTTTACTGGGCGGTAACTGCTGCGCCGGGGTTCACCAGGGATACGTAGTACCTGAAAAAGGCCGGCGGTCTATTCGGAAGACTTCTCCCACTCCCTCACCACTAAACTTACGCCTTTCAGAAGTCTACAACTCTACAACTCTACAACTCGAGTCAAGAAAACCGTATTCACACTTTCACTAGAGCCAATTGATCGAGAAGCCTCGCGGGCCAAGTCACTGGGTCAATCTTCATCCACCTTGCCCGTGAGGGCCATTCTCATCTAAATCGCTTCGAGGTCTGGGAACACCACCCGCGACTGGTAGCAAAACAGCAGTAACCCGCTGCCCGGTCAGCAGCCTTGCGCTGCGTGAGGTCAGTACCTATCGAGTTCCAATCATCAATCATTCAGAAGATGTTCCAAATACGGTCTGGAGATGAGACCTATCGCTTTCCGGTGCACTTCGGATGCGGGCAGGAAAGGGATAGAGATTGAAAGGCGATATAGCTGACCCTTAGCCAGTCTCGAACCAAGAAGGATCCATCGCCCTATACCCTTCAGGAAAGAACCATTCGAACTCATCTTCCCGCAACAAGATGATGTCCAATCCTCCATCAGTGCTTCAACAACGACAAAAGCTACATCGACGACTGAACTCAACACCAGTAGCTTTCGAAGCATTGAAGGTGCCAACCATGCCACCCACCACTCAGCGCCACAGTTCGCATAGACGAGGTCAATCACTTGATCACCGGAGTCCAACGCGAGGCGCAGATCGACAAACAGGAAGCACGGTAAGTATTACTAACCCAGGATCAACAACCATCGGACAACAAATTCTGCGAGAAGCGCAGCAGCAAAACATAGCCAGACCGGGCCAGCGAAACCAGTCGCAAACGTCGTCGCAGTGCGATGTATTTTCAGACCACAATATCGACCACAACGATTTATACAGTTCAACCACAATGAATGCAATTCTGCAAGAACAATCCAATCTGCAAGTGGCAAGTCCACTGCAGCAGTTCTTCTCACAGGACTTGTACATGTCATCACCAGCTGGTTTTGAAGGCATGGACTCCAATGTGGACCAAGATAGCCAGCATTACTTCCAATCCACCCACAGCGTGAGACAGAGCTTTGAGGATGAAATGATGAATGAAAGAAGAATGTCGCAACCTGACCTACAAATGTATGGACAGCAGCGACCAACTACACCCGCACAACAGATGAACACTGGTAAGTCCATATAGCAACAATAGAAGGAAAGAGGCTGACATGGCAAAGCACATCTCCCTCTCACCCCTGCAACAACTCCATTCAAGCAGAATAGTCGCCAGTATCACTTTTCAAGGACGGCTCAATCTTCACCAGTGAGGCTACAGGGAGACAAGACCATCAAAGCACCACATCCAATCTTGATGCAGCGGGGAAGGTCTCTTGAGGGTATCTTCGAGGCACATGATGAGGAGAACGATATTCCATCCCCTCCAGGAACAGCACCAATGATATCTTCGAGTACATTCGAGATGGCGGAGATGCCGATGCCTCACTCGATGAGCTCACGAGGCATCCCGACAACTTTTTCACATAGCGATGGAGGTCATGCTTCTCTCCAAGTCTCCCCCGAGTTGGCAATGACAGCAAGAGATCTTTCCTTCCCAGCAAGTTCTGAAGGCGCCCGTACTCCGCTGTTCACCGAGACAGGAGGGAGCAGGCCTTTGCTCGCCGCCAACATCCCGATGCTTCCGTCATCTCAGCCAGGAACAGGCTGCCCATCTCCTACAAAGACGGAGCTCTCCCCACGACGGATGTCAATATCCGATCTAAACCTTGAGCCCGGTGTTAGTGCCTCAATCGAAGAGACGAATGTCACCTTAGATGATATTGCCCAATTTATCGAAGGCCCGGATCCTCTTGACAACAAATGGATTTGCAAGTATGAAGATTGCAACAAGAAATTCGGAAGAAAAGAGAACATCAAATCCCATGTCCAGACTCACCTTGGCGATCGACAATTCAGATGTGACCACTGCAACAAGTGCTTCGTACGAGGTCACGATCTGAAACGGCATGCCAAGATCCACACCGGCTCCAAGCCGTATCCTTGCCTATGCGGAAATGCATTCGCGCGTCACGACGCGCTGACACGACATCGCCAACGTGGAAACTGCATCGGAGCATTCGAGGGCGTCGTCAAGAAGGTCGTCAAGAAAGGTCGGCCACGCAAACACCGTCCGGAAATGGACGATCGACTGGACAAAGCGAACAGGACAAGAAAAAGAGTGGAGGAGAAAGGCCACCACTATGCCTCTTCCTGCACCGACTCATCTATCTCCAGCTTCGGCTCTCCACCCGCAGAAACGCTCGAATCACTGAGTATCCGCGGCGCCTCGCCTTTTGACGACATGTCCATGTTCGGCGTGGTCTCATCTTCTCAACACATGTCCGAAGTTACCGCCAGCTTCCCTCCCGACCTCTTCACCTTCACTCCCCCAGCCAGCCCCGGCTACTCAACCGGCAACAAACCCTCTCCATACCATCGAGCACTAACTCCTACCGATATGGCGGAAGTTCCCGAGATCCCGACCATTCAGACGGAGCTCCTCGGCGCTATTAACCAAGAATCTCATCAGCAGCGGCATCACAGCCCACCGAGCCTGTGCTATTCTTCCAGCTCGCCGGTGCCGGACGTGATTTCATTTGATTTCTCGTCGGCGGAAGAGCCACTGATGAGCAATGGTGGCAATAATCAGCGACTGAGCTTGAAGGGGGAGAGCAGCAATGCGGATTTTGATAGCTTTTTTGATTATGGAAATATGGGCATGGATGGGGGCCAGGATAGTTTCTTCAATTTGTAAGAGAAAATGTTGGGAAGGAAACAAAAGCTGTTTTGGAGATTTGAATGTAAGAAAGCCTTGGGAAATTTTTGGAGCGCAGTTCCTGGAGAACTTCGATCTTGTTCTTACGACCTTGATGAGAAAAAACTGGGTCCGGGCGTCGGTCTAATGGGGGGTTCGAGGATGCAAACGTACCTGTTAGACTACGTCCTTGGAAATATGGTATTGAGCCTTGAGAAAACTGAAGGATAGAAAGCAGCTCTTCAAAAAAGCTCGCGCGTTGTGGTTAGCTACTAGTTGTTGGGGTCAGCTGTTCAAAAGGGATAGAGAAATTGAATAGACACTGTTCACTCTGTAACGGATTCCTGTCGCCCGTCAAGTGCAGTCTCCTGGAAGAGATTGTGTAGCGATGTCAAGACAGCGGAAAGTCTTCTCTCGAATACAGTCAGTCGTCCACCCACACGAAATCGCAACGCATCTACGTTAGGTTAGTTATGCACCGTTCAGCAACTCACCTCTCTCTCTCTTTCTCTCTGTGTATGTGTGTTTCGGTCTGGGAAATTGATTCGTGCGTCGAGAGCTTCTCTTCTGCAACCTAACGAGGAGTGAGTGACCTACTTCGTTCGATACTGGGATTCTAGCAATGGCGAACCTCTTTAAAGCACGGTTGGAGGGTGTGTAAGCAAACCAGTTAAGTGGGTTAGGGTGGAGCCTGGGCGCTTGGTTGTCGATTGGAAGTTATTTAGTTGGACACCTACGTAGTAGGTAACTAGTTAGGGGAAGAGAAATCGGTTCGGTGAGAACAAGGCAGATATTCGATGATCTTCTGACCTAGTCAGGACAGTATCCTTTGTCGGAACCATTTTGAATCATACTTTTGAATTCTTGTGCAAGCAAGAAGGCTGCTGGATTTCACGGTTTTGCATGATTAGGGAAGGCCCTGAGGCCCATTGACAGGAACTTCAATTGGTATTGCTCTTGGCATATGATTTGGGTACTTGCTGCAGACTGCAATCCTGGACAGCATGCTCACCCAATTGCGTAGCCTTCACAGGTCATTGTCCATTATTTACAGAGTACAGCTAGCATCAAGGAGTTCTCCGAGTAGGATACAGTAATTACCGATGATGCTCCATGATTCTTCGAACTCAACATGCTTGAAGTCCGCTGTTGAGCACAGATAGCGAAACATCTCCATCACACCTGCTTCTCTCGCAAGTCTGAAAGTGTCTATCGAATACTGGGTAGACAATTCCTGCACAGGAGTTGGACTTGGACTTGAAACGAGGCAGAAAAAAGGGGGGCCGATTTCTTAACACGATGATATGCATATGTACGTAGTAAATAATCCTTGACACATAGAACCTTGTATAGTAACACCAGTGCAATAATGCTCAGTGGCGTGGCTACAGAGTCATCGAACCTTTCCCTAACAAGGGAATTCGCACACAGTATATTCATAATGTCTTATTATTTTTGGTGCCACGAGTCAACCGCCTTGCTGCTATCTGCTCTGCACAACCATGCATCACTCACGGTCTTCAAGTTGAAAAAAATTGCACAGCGCCCACGAACGCCACGCCAATGCAACCCATTTTTATGCAGCGTTGTACAAGAAGTATGTGCGCAACACAGATCACCACATAGAATGGGGATGGTCAGTAATCGAAAAAGGTTGTTCAGAAGATGCCCGGAGCTCGAGTCACGTAACAATCGTCATGATGACTGCGGCCTTGTACAGCCGAGGAATTGACACCCTAAACCCACCCCCTGAGTGTACGTCTTTTTGAAAATTGCTTTGCCTGGCCATTATGTCATTGTACCACATGCATTGCCAGACCCCAGCTGTAACGCAAGGCTGAACGCTCCACACTAGGTGCTCCTCATTGCTATGATCTCTGCATAGCAGCTTGCAAGCCACCTCCATTTTGCATCGCCATCCCATAAGGATTGGCGTGATGGTTAGTGAAGGCGCCAGGAACATCGTTGCCGAGTCCATTCATGATCATACCAGGCAGACCTTGAGCTTGTCCCATAGGACAATCTTTGTGGGCCAGGAGCAGTCCTTTAAGACTAACGATTTCTTCCCTCAATTGAGTTACCTGACTCGAAAGAGCATCATTTTCGGTCGAAAACAATTCAACCTTGGCTTGCAAATTTGCAAGCCATTGCTTCTTCCTTTGACGACACTTGAGCGCAGCAACTCTGCATGAAACATTAGCAAGTTCCAGGAGCAACCATGTCAAACCATGGCATACCTGTTCCGCTCCAAGAAATTCTTTCGCTTCTCCTCATCAGTCATCTTTTTCCCGTTAGCGTCATGGGTTGGCTCTTCTTCATTACTGTCGTCCTCATCCTCATCAGGAGGCTCTAGACTTAGACTTGGGTCTACGTTTATAGAGCTGGAGTTGCCCTTAGATCTTTTGTTCGAGGATTTCTGTGACATGTCATCGGCCTTTCTCCGAGTACCTGCTGCTGCCGCTTGTGCCTTTGCTGTCTTCTTCCCTCTGCCACCCCGTGTGGTCGGCTTCGACACTTCTTCGTGACTATCGGACTGCTGTCCACTCATATCAGGTCCAGAAAGGCTACCCATGGAGGCTGTGTTCCGCCGATGACTATCTTGGGCATTCACATTCTGGTTACTTTGCATAGGCTGCTGTTGCTGCTGCATTTGCTGGTTGGCCATAGCGTATTGATTATTTGTTTGGCCACCCTTCGCAAGCATAAACAGGCCATTTGCGGCTTCAGCATCGTGAGAAGCAAACTGTTCTTGCTGTGATTTGTCCATCTTTGTGTTCTGTTGATTTTGCTCTTGGGAGTTTGAGGTCTGACCAAATTGATTGTTCTTACTCCTTGCAGCAGCATTGATAGCTGTTCGATGGAAATCTACTGTGCCTGGTGTGGCACCACCGTTCTGTAATGCTTGAAAGAGAGCTTGTGAGTTGGGACTGGGCGCAGGGAACATAGACCCGCCGCCTCCCGGCGTCAGGCCTGTGCGCAAACTCGATTCGTTAGGGGTGGGAAATCCTCGCCCAATACTATCAAAATAGTCCCCTGAACCTGCTGGGCCTGCCAGCATAGCAGGGCTCAATGGCCCGGACCGAAGTGAATGGGATCCCCAGTTATAGCCGCCAGTTGAGCTCGTCCCCGGTATGGCAGGTGACGTTAGTGCAGCAACAGATGGCAACAGAATCTTGCCTGGTGTTTCTGTTGACGGTGCCCCGAAGGATTGTTCAAATGGATTGGGTTCCAGCGAGAATTGAGAACCTCCGTTGTGGAGGCCGGAGAAATAGTCGGTGCTCTCACTGTTGTTTGCCTGTGCAGGTCGAGGTGGCGGCGCAAGCGGCTCGGAGGCTTGAACGGCAGTCTTCGACTCTTCTGCTTGAGATGCTGGCTGTGATGCTGTTTGAGTCGTTGCTAGATAAGATTCAGCACTGAGACCTGAACCGCCAACAAGAAACTCACCTGGCAACGATGACTTCGTTTGAAGTGGTGAGTTCTTGCGTGAGTTTTCTGAAAAGGTCCTGTTAGCCGAAAATGCTGCAAAGAGGCAACGACGAGCATGATATTGGCGAATGAATACGACGGGTAGGGTGATAGCCGAGGACAGTAGACACAATTCAGTGATAGCATCGCAAAGTAATGCCCAGGACCATGGCACAAGTATGCTTACCTTCTGATTTCAGCGCAGCCTTCTTATTATCCATAGGCGACGCAGTGCGTGAGCTAGGTCGTCCGATACGTGGGGAGTTACGTCGAGCGACAGCTGTGGCCATGTCGAGGTGAATAAGATGACAATGACGCAACGTGGGAACGTTAGCGGGAAGGTCAGGTGTCGTAATAGCCTGGCCTTGGCTCTTATTCCGGATTGAGAAGGCAGGAACCTGTAGGAAAGAGAAGCTTGGCAACCTTCAGGCGGTGGATGAAAAGTGATGGCTGGGGGCTGGGAAAGTGACGACACAGATGATGTCGTGAAAAAATTGGGGGGTCGAAGGTGGACGAAGTACAAAAAGATGCGGGAGGCGCTTTCGAAATAAGTTGCTTGGTCAGAAATTCCGCTTTTCCGACCGTGCTTTGCGCTTCAACCAATATTCGCCAAGATCAAGTCGGCGTTCTCTAGCTATGGATCTGAATCTATTGAATACGCGGACAAAGTCAGCAATCACTTCTGTCTGGTGCGTTTTTGGCTTTTTCCTTTTCCACCTTTCCCGAGGTGCTGCAAAAAGAATTTGAGGGGGTACTGGTGAGTGGCAAATCCGCTTTTGCCGACAAGGAGAGCCCCATACATACCGCTCCGAGTTCACCGCCTGGAACAAATCGATTCAGCGCTCATTCAAGCAACGTTATCGATGGAATCTTAATTCCTTATGCTGCCGCCGGCGACCTTCCAGAGATTGAACAAACGCGTTATGTTGCACGCGGCGGTGACGTAGTCGCTTCAGGAGCGAGCCGTCCAGCGTGCCAGGCGTACCACGGTGACGGGATCACCGTCT